GGAAAAGGAGAAGAAGAAGAATTAAATTTATCTCCACCCATCTCCCCCTAATGGGAGACTCTGGGTGGCTCACAACTCATTAAAACAATAAATAGATATACAATTACATAAAACCTAACCTGTACAAAACAATTACTAAAAAAAGAAAGTCCAAGAGGCCGATGGTTCAGAGCAGCAGACGCCAGGCCTCTAAGGGGCTAGCCATCCCCACACTTGATGTCTTCCCTCCCCACTCCAGGTCACATGGCAGAGCCAGGGAGAAAGGTTATTTCCATTTCTTATTGGAATATGGATTCAATCCATATAGGCTTGTTAAGCCTTCAGCTTTATGAAAGGGGTATTTACTTAAAACTTTATAAAAGAAATGGAATTACACATACCTTGATTGACTTTTAATTATATAGTACACAGTCTGTACTTCAGAAGGGTGGGAAACTTCCTGTTAAACTATTTTTGCAAGTCTAATAGATACTTGATAATGAGTTTAATCTTAATTCACTATGTATCAGAGGTCAAATTACTTGTACTCTCTTGGCTATTCAAGGTACAAATGCACAGACTCCATATTTAAGTCAACTGTGTCATGAAAGCATGTGCAAGGCTGGAATGCACAAGATTTTTCTAGGTAAAGGGACGCTCTTAGCCTTTGAGTGAAATGTTGGAGCCTACACTTCATAAAGGAATGGATTGAGGCAAAACAAAAACTTAATTTCATATGAATTCACTTACATTTAACGGCAAGTCACAATATACTTGCAGGGTTTTTTTCCCCTAGTCATGTATTAGAAAATCAATTTTCCATTCTGTTACAGTAAATATAAAAATAGTAAAAATAGCAACTTATTAACAAATTTTGGAAGTTTCAGATGGCTGGAAAAGCATTTATGGATGGTTTGAGATCTTAGGGACCTTAGATTGTTCACCTCTGAAAGAAGAATAAAAGAAGAATGAGAAATAAATGATAGCAAACAAGAGTCTATATAGTTATGGGTAGAGTTTGTTGACAGAGTGAAAAGTAGGAGCTGACAAAACAGTTGATAGAATTCAGCTAGAGTCAGTTGATAGGATCAAAAGAGACAACAGGAGGAGACAGAATGAGAGTTTATTTGGTTCGGGAGTTAGTAAAATAAAAGAACATAAGGTATTGGTGATGATTGAAAGGACTCTGTTTCAATCAAAACATTCTTGAGGTTGTCACAGGAAATTTCATATGTCTGATCTTTGTCAGAGCAATTACCTCACTGGCCTTTAGAGAAGGACATTCCTGACAGCTTTTACAGCTCAGTGGCTGGCCGAAGCAAGTAGCCCTCTTGACATCTCAGTTAGGAGTACTATAATATATAATATAATATATTACCTTACATTTTTGAGTCAAGATGTTATATTGAGGTTGATTCCCATCATTGGAGCACTCAACCTCAGTATGACACCTTGACTGTGTTATATAGGCTCCATACAGGCTCCATACAGGTAGTCTTTGGGTTATGATGGCAATTCTAACCAGAATTTCCATCATTAAGTGATGTGGTTGTAAAGCATGACATCACATGACTGCATCACTTAGCGACGGCAAGCTCAGCAGTCCTGGTTGCTATTATAACCCCAGGACCGCGTAGGTCTTGAATTGGGAAGAGGCAAGGAGTGTGAGGGGGTGCATGGGTGCCATGGGGTTTGGGTATTCCATGGGCAGGTACTACCAAGCATGGGGGTGCATGGGTGCCTCAAGGGGGTGGGGGATACCGCGAGCAGGTGCTTCTGAGTGTGGGCTGGCTGGGGGGGCTGTGGGCAGGCACTACTGAGCATGGGCGGGTGGTGGCTGCGGACAGGCACTACGGAGCATGGGGGGGTACTACAGAGTACTCCATAGCAAGGGTCCTCAGTAGCTATGTACTCCGTAGTGGGACTCCTCAGGAAAAAAAGCAGCAGGAGCAACTTATGGGAGTGACCTGCAACCTTACCTGCCGGCTTCCCCATTGATTTTGCTTGTGGGAAGCCAGCAGGGAAGATTGCAAATGGCGATCACAGCTCGCTGCAACATAATTGCAGTCACATGACTGTGGGGACACAACTGCCGCAACTTCACAGAGCAGTCATAATCCCCCTCGTTCAGCGCTGTCATAATTTTGAGTGGTTGCTGAACTAGTGGTGGTAACTTGAGGACTACCTGGATATAAAATTGATGCTCCATTGTACAAGTTTCCACTCCTTTGTGTCCCTTCCAAATCTATTCTAAAATGTCCTCCAGCCCTCTGGAACAGAATTGGAGCATGGAAGGTAGGGAAGAAGAATCTGATGAATTGATATATGCTGTTTTGTTAGGTGAATTATGTCACTGGGTATTAGTTTATCAGATGAGTGGATGATATAGTCCCTAAATAAATATATCTTCTATGTTCATGCCTAGGTCTAAGTCTAAGGTTTGCACGTTTTATTACACATGTTGGCTTTGAAGTAGAGAGACAGATCTATAAAAATAGTAGCCTTTTAAATATTATTGGATCATGGCAGCAGATTATGGGCTAGATAATCTGGATTTACTGGGTTAAATGGTCTATGTAGGACTGGGACCTGGTACAAAGAATAGGAAATCCATATATACGTCACAGTATATAGCCTTGTTTGTCTTGATGTTGCCCATATTTTCTCTCTTTATAATTTTCTTTCCCTCTGCCAAAATTTTGAGTAGATAAATATAAGGGTGGATTTTTACACTCGTAATCTAGCTAGTAACAGTTATGTAACCAAAGACGAGGTGAAGACCGCTTCGCCTTCTCTGAAGAGATTGCCATCCACTCCAGTACACTGAAAGCACAGGAGGAAGAAAGCCAAATCTCATGGCTTTGAATTTCTTATGTATAGGTTCTACTTCTAAAATGTGCTGGAATTGTTCTACTCTTAATCCAACCTTTTTTTCCTATTAAACCTGTTTAATTGATTGACTCAGTTGAGGGAATTGTTCTTTGGCTGATCTTCTCCAGTCCTGATTGCTGTTAGAGAGAGATCTAACAATACCTGGGAACCAAGATAGCATTTTGAATTGTATCTGGAAATCTATGGGAAGCCAACATAGCTCCCATAACAGTGACATTACATGGCTATAGTTACTGTCCTCTGCCAGCACATGGACTGCTGCATGTGTACCAGATATAAAACTTTCCCATAGTTTTCAAAGGCAACTTCATAAAAGTCTAGTGTAATGGTGATAAGAGCATGAATGACTGTTGTCAGAGCCTTCCCTGGATTCCAGGTAGGACCACAACCAGTGCACCAGCCAAACTAGGTAAACTCTGGCCATTGCATTACCTGCAAATCGAATAGGAGCTATGAGTCAAGTAGGACTGGAAGAATTACACTCCTCCATCCAGATCCCAACAAAAGTCATCCACCATTGCAACCAGTGCAGTTCTGCCTATGCCAAGGTCTGAACCATGAATGAAAGGGATTCAGGTAATTCATTTCTACTCCACTCCATAACTGAACCACCATCTTCTCAACAGCCTTTCCTAAAAAGTGAGTTTGGAAACAGAATGGTAATTGTCCAGTATAGCTGGATCCAGGGAAGGCATCTGGAAGTCCTTGGTTTACAGTGGTAATTGGGACCAGAATTTCCATTGCTATGTGATGCGGTTGTAAAGTGTGATGTCACATGACTGCATTGCTTAGTGGCAGCAATCCCAGAAGTCCCTGTTGCTGTCATTAAGTGAGGATCACAGGTTGTTAAGCAAGAACCTCTTCGTGACTTCCTGGCGGTTTGCAACGTGCAAAGTCAATGGGGAAGCTAGCAGGAAGTCCCAAGTCTCAGGTGGCTTGCAAGCAGGCCAGCAGGTAGTTAAATGGCTGCTGCGGTGCAGCGCAACCTTGGCCAGGTGCAGGGTGGGTGCTCCAAAGGGTGAGAGGATGCGCAAATGTTATGAGCAATTTATTAATACTAAAGTGAATACTGAGAATTATTCTTTCATGAATTCAGTACTCTTCCATATACCAGTCTTTTTCTAATATGACATGAAAGACACTGAAGCAAATATACTCTTATTTCTTTTTAAAGTAAGTAGTGTAGTGCCCATTGGTTTAGCTAGGACTTGCTGGACGTAAAGTTTTTAAAAATATTAATTGATTAACCCCCCCCCCCCCCCAAATTCTGTCATGATTGGTGGCAATCAAGTTCTGGCTTGGAAGTGTGCCCCTCTAAGTTATAAAAGTAAGCTTCAGTAGTAGAGAGTGTTCTAGGGAGATTCAGAGGAAGGAAACAACCTTGTCAGTTTTTCTTCTAGTCTAGCCCCCCCAGGTCTGCTGTTTTATAAAACCACCCACAGTTTGGTCCCAAAACTCCAAATATGTCAGCTGGTCCCAAAAGATTGTCTATACTTGCTTTATCTCTTAGACATCATAAGATATACTTTCCTGAATTACATCACTGCAAACATACCTTGTGTTATTCTTATTCATGAGGACAGCCTACAAAAATGGTTGTTTCTAACTTTCCATTAATAGATTTTGTTGTAGCAGGAATTTCACTTGATGAGTGGATGAGTTCTTTTAAATGTAGTGATCAAACCTGGTGTTGGATCAGCTGCCTTGAGCAATTGCTAATATCCTAATCCTCGAGGAGAACCGCTATCAATCCTGGCCCCAGTTTATTGAGAGAATTTGATGGCCTCTTAACAAACTGAAGCCCCAGGTTGAGGCACAAATCTCTGTCAGAGCAGTTAAGATACTGGGTGTGTCACTCCTTTTTTTTTTTTTCCCTGTTGTGCCCATCTGTCTTCACCAAAAGAGGAGGAAAATATTGCCTATGCTCAGTTTTTCGTTTGTTTTTTTTTTAACCTGGAGTACCACAACTGAGAGATCCATCAATTTCAGTGATAACCATTATATTGATTCTCTGGCTAATGAAAGAGCATGCAAGTTGGTCCATGGTCCAATTCAAAATCTCACTTTGGACAATGAAAATATAATTACACTTCATTATTCATGGGTTAACTTGTCTCTTAATTGAACAGAACTTGGCCTGCTGGAATCCTTCAAATCCTGAATGCCTTCTGCTTGTTGTAAAAGAACTTGTACAACAGTACCACCAGTTTCAATGCAGCAGATTACGTGAGAGCTCTCGGCTCATGTTTGAATATCAAACATTACTTGAAGAACCTCAGTATGGAGAGAACATGGAAATTTATGCTGGCAAAAAGAACAACTGGGTAAGTTGTTGCACTTAAACTGACAGAAAAGTACCACTGGAGATTCCTTTCCATAGTTACTATAGCCTGATTTGGAAAAGATCTTCGTCTTAAATGTGTACTTCTTAAAATAGTTGTCCTCAATTTACCTTCGTTGCTCTTCTCTCTTCTTGCTGTTTTTATTGCATTACCTTGCTTGAACTTGTTTTCTAGGTAAACAGCTATGTCTAACAGTTGTGTGGAATTGAGAATTATGAATGCGGTAAAGCACTGACTAAAATCTTCTCACCTGATCTTAACACTTAATAAATGGATTTATTCTAACTAAATAAATTCTGCGAGCTTAACTAAAATGTAAGAGTGAACAGCTGGAAGTGCCTATGTTGACTATGCCTCTTTCTCTTTCCTTCTGTTTCCAATAAAAGAGACAATTTAAAAAGTGGCAACACCTGCTATTGAGATGCTGCCCCCACTTTTTGTGGTAATTTGCAAGAAAGTTGTCTCTGAATGAGTTGCAGGTTGTGTAGTAACATGTGATCATATACCACTGAGAAATAGTATACAACATGTAAAAAATAAAATAATTGGATGTGGCTTTGGATATTTATTTATTTATTGTAGGCAGAAATTAAATCAGAATATAATCCTCTTTAGTTTCAGTAAGAAGCTAAAAACCAGAGGTTCTCAGACTCTGCGGTTCAGTAGCTCCTTAAAATGATACATTAATTTGTGATCTTCCCATGGATAAAATGATTTCATTAGGGTTAGGGTTGAGCAAGAAATAAATATACTACTTGTTTTTAATAATTAAATTTTGATCTATATATCCACTAAAACAATAATAAGGACTTGAGGCTATCAAATAAAAATTATTAGAAATAAACTATAAAATAATTAAATTTAAAATAATATTTTTAATGTAAGCTTGTGCACTTCTGGCATAATTCAGGGATGCACACAAAGCTGGAGCCCTGTCCAGTAGCACTCCCATTCTGCCTGGACAACTGCTCCTGGATTATCTGAGAGGAAAGCTCAGAGCATGGTCCAACAGAATTCTGGCTTTTCCTGTCCTGCACATGTAAGGGGGCAGTCCACAGATTAACATAAGAACTTTATATCTAAATAGAATTTTATTATTATTTAAAATTCAGCAGATCCAACCTCCCCACCCCCCTTCCTGGGCTTTCTCCACCTTCCTTGGATCAGCCAACACCTGGCATGTCCAGGCAGTGGGAATTTGAGCATGAGTACGCGCGTGCGTGCACACACACACACACACACACACACATGGCCATGAGACTCCCCTCAGCTTTGCAAACTAGTTTGAAAATCCCTGCCCTTGGTAGAGGGTGGGGTCTGGACTACCAGATGGTTGAGGTATTGTAAAGACTCATTGGGAGAACTAGGCAGAGGCAGCGATAAACAAAACCCTACTTTAAGCTGGAGCAACAGTGAAAGTATGAACGGGAAAAAAAGTGTGACTCCTGCCTAATTCACTAGAATATAAGAAGTATGGAGGGGAAACTCAGTCACGCTTTCAGTATTGTGTTACTATGGCCTATACATCAATAAAGTATAGTTCCAGTCAGATTTGTGGAGTCCATTTCCTGACTTGCCTAACTTGAAGGACGTACAGTCCTGTCTGGAGGATTCTTCTGTTGAATGGCCAAAGGTTATGAATTATATGAATTATAATATGCAACATCTGGAGTGACCAGGTTGGAAAAGATTTGGCTAAAAGCCTTTCCAAAAGAATATAGCATTAGAATTGCCTTTCTGTATAATAGAGCTGGTCACCCACTGTTGTTTCTTCACAATGTGTAATAATTTGAGATAAACTTCTGAATATGGTGATTCTTATACTGTAAAGTGATTAAAAAACTGATTCCTCATTAGTTAATCCTTTTAAAAAGTCTGTGTAAAATAATAGCCAATGGCACATGGGATGCATATTTAATTAGAGCAATTAAAAATAGTTGAAATATTGCAAGGTTTGCAAGGGGGTTCTTGCATTAAGTCTCATAAAATTTAAGGGGAATGCAAAATCTCGAAAGTTTTCAGTACAGTACTCACATATGAGATCTCAGGAGGTTTCAGGAATTAAATCTTGCAACATTAGATGCTATTTTGTTATTTTAAAAAAGGGTTTCTGTAGTTCTGACAAAACATGCAGAGTACTCAGCATCTAAAAGATGTGACTAGGACATGGGTTATAGTTGCCAAGCCGTCCTTTTCCAAGGGAAGATGCAACTGATAACACCTGCCAAAACTGGACACCCCCTCCCCAAGATCTGGATTCCATTTGTCCATTTGTCCAGTCCTGAGTTTAGGAGTTAACATGTAATGATCAGTATAATTGGAAGGTGGGAATGGCATAATTGGGATAATTATCTTACCATAACTGGATTGTAAGTTGTTTTGCTGTGGACACCTGGCTTGCTATGTGATTAGCTTTTCATAAACTACAAAACTCTAAAAATTCAGTCTGTTTCAACTCTGCCTCTCCAAATTGTTAGGAATGTGAATGCTCAATTAAATAGTGAGGTTGGATGTAATCCTCTTTTTTTTTTTCTTCAATTCGTAGACTGGTGAATTTTCAGCTCGTTTCCTTCTGAAATTGCCAGTGGACTTCAGCAATATCCCTACCTACCTTCTCAAGGTAAAATAAACCATTATTATTTTAGCTACCACATTCTTTGAAATAATTGAATTCCAATGCTTCCTATTTTTCTGTAGGAAAAAGCATAGAAACCTTCCTAAGAAAGTAATAACTTAAAGATTTGTACATGGAAAAATTGGTACTAGAATAACTGAATTCCAGTAATACAGATAGTTTAACTAATAATTACACTGAGCCACTCTTTAAAATTTTATTTTATGCTCAGTTCTGCATCTTTCTTTTGTCTGCACTATTTTCATACACCATATCTTTCAAAAAATGAAATCAGTTTTAAATATCAGTATAAGTATACATTATACAGTATGTAGATTTCCAAAAAATCCTTCAGTAGTTTTCAACATGACATTTAATATCCAAATAGACTTAAAATCAAATGAGTCTGTTTAAGCCTTTGAAATTTTGTCAGTGAGTCAACAAGCCAACTGAGGAGGAGGTACACATAGGAACTTTCCTGTAGTTAGGAAAGCTGTTGAATTCAAGCCAGAGGAATAGATGCTATGCACTTGTTAAATTATTCTTAGGGAAATGAAAAATGAATATATAGAATTGAGATATGTGTTAATTTCTGCTTTGGCAAATGTGCTGATCTGAAGGGAAAGCTTGGCTATATCTGAAGGAGAAGGTAACTTCTGTATGTAACTACTCAGTGTACCTATCTACCCAAACTATAAAATGTCTTTGAAGATGCTAGGAAATGTAGATATTGTAAGCTGTCTTTACCAATATAAGTAGAAAGGCATGGTATAATTTTAATGATAAATAATAGAATATAAATATACAAGCAATCAGAGACATTTAGGACCTAAAGCCCAGATAGTTGAAGGAGAAAGGAGGTGACTTGAAATATTTTATTAAATATTATTTAGATTTTTAACAGGCTGCAGTTTTACATCCACTTATCCAATTAAACCTTTTTTAACTTATTAATGTGTACATTTGAGTAGGTAGGTAGGGGTGTGTATGTGTGTGTGTGGAGAGAGAGATTGTGTTGTTAAAATCTTCAGACAAAGTACCTACTCACACCTGTGAATATAATGTATTGAAAATGTGATTGTATACTAAGAACTTTAGTTAGCTATGTGTTAGCTATGTGTTATTAAATTTGTTTATTTTTCGATTTTTATAGCTGCCCATCTTAAACCAGTGACTCACTAACCCAACTCTTACTAATTCCGTTGACAAATGCTTACTATTCCTTCTAGTTCTCATGAATAACTCATACCTCAGATCAGAGATATTTCAGGAATCTATCCATTTGCTTCATTGAGTGTTTTCTACTCATACATACATACATATATATATATTCATATTCTAGTCCAGCATCCCTTTCATTACACACCCAAAGTATGTGAGTTTCTTCTTGCTCATAATCATTTCAAGTGAACAGTCAACCTTTATTTGGTCTAGGACTGATTCGTTATTTCTTCCTGTGGTCCAATATCTCTCCAACTTTTGCATTCCAAAATCAGTAAGTAGGTGCAAGTGCATGTTTTTGGAACAAAAACTTGTTTTATGGTCTTAAAAAACCTTGGTGCCAAATCTGTACGAATACTATGAATTAGCTTCAAAAAGTTTTAAATACAAGCTAATGTTGCTACCATTTGCTTACAGTTTAGATACTGATTTTCTATGATTTTTACAGTGGGAAAAAATGAACAGATTTATGAACGGTGTTTGTATAGCTTTGTTCCTTTAACATTTTAAAGATCTAACTATATAATTTGTTTTGGAAATTAGTTAGAAATCAGTAGAATCCATTATTCAGCCAGGTCTGATCCATGTCATTAAGAAATCCATAATGCTGAGGGGTCATCACATACTTGAACATCTTATCTAAGAATGGAAATTTTGTAACATGAGAGAGGGAATTTAGTATGATGAGTTTTACATGGTCTGAGTTGAAGAGGAATTTCCTCTTCTAGATCTGTAACTTCCAGGTATTCCAGTTGGCATAGATAGGTGTTTTATGCAAATTAACCATAGTGGGGTCTCAAGTGATCTATGCTTTCTTTTTATATACCTTAATGGAAAAAAAACCCTCTTTTTTTTCATACTATGCCCACAATACACTCATAGATAATACAGTAACTGCAAAATCTCCAGTTGGCACCTGTGGAATTTTTAACTTAACTAAAATAAAATAAAATAAAACCCTTGCAAAATTATCATTCTTATATTGCCCTGCATGTACATAGACTGCGGACCGTCCAAAGAACCCCCATAATCTTGGTTCTGTTTCAAAGTGTTGGACATAGAGACATTTTTTTAAATTGATATTGTTCTAATTTTAAAATATTAGGCTGACTGATCTCAGAAAAGTTAAAGTAAAAAAATCTGTCATGATGATATAAAAATTGATATAGGAAGAATTGGTGATTATAATTGTTAATAAATACTATCTTTTTAATATGAAGTTGTGCCACAACAGTCAGGATGAAAAGGAAAGATATAATGAACTTGTTAGAAAATCATGACTGAGTGATGTGGGCTTTTAATGTATTGAAGAGGGTGCTTTCTCCCAGATGTCCTTGAGATTTTGTAAGGCTGTGCTTTTCTACATTGAAAACTTCCTTTTTAGTTGAGATGCAATATTGTTTTTTTTCTAGATTTTTTATCCCGCCTTTATTATTTATATAAATAACTCAAGGTGGCAAACATACCTAATACTCCTTCCTTCTCCTATTCTCCCCACAACAG